GGACGGAATGACGGAATGACGGAATTACGGAATGACGGAACAGGGTAACACTATATGCCCCTGCCATTATATGGCGGGGGCATAACAATGTTTTTTTTCATGAAAATTTTAAGTTCAAGGGAGGTAATTCTGATAAATTTTGTACTAGAGTTGTAAACCTTGTCACATATGATGTGGTTGATGACAAGCAACTTATATTTAAAGTTTGAAGAAAATATCTTAAGAAATAAAGAACTTATAGTGAAAAAACTTAAAAACTAGAATCAGAAATCTTGAAATTCAGTCTATTTGTTGCCATAGCAACCAGAATTTTCAACATAGGAAGATAAAAAAGGATGTGCATAATTTCCATACTGCCATCTACCCATATGTCAAGTTTCATAAACATATTTTCAGTACTCTTTGTGTTATCACTGGATCCAGGTTATGTGTAAAATTTGCCATATTTTCAGTCTATTTGTTGCCATAGCAACCAGAATTTTCAACATAGGAAGAAAAGAAAAAGATGTGCATAATCTACATACTGCCATCTATCCATATATCAAGTTTCATAAAAATATTTTCAGTACTTTTTGCGTTATCGCGGGATCCAGGTTATGTGTAAAATTTGCCATATTTTCAGTCTATTTGTTGCCATAGCAACCAGAATTTTCAACATAGGAAGAAAAGAAAAAGACGTGCATAATCTCCATACTGCCATCTATCCATATATCAAGTTTCATTAAAATATTTTCAGTACTTTTTGCGTTATCGCGGGATCCAGTTTTGTGGACGGACGGACTGACGGACGGACAGACGGACGGACGGACAGACGGACAGACGGACGGAGGGTAAACCTAAAGTCCCCTCCGGTAAACCGGTAGGGGACTAATAATGGGTTTGCGACCAGCATGGATCCAGACCAGCCTGCGCATCCACACACATGCTGTGCGCTATCAGATTCTCTACTTGTTATAGGGTTTGTAAGCGAACAGCATGGATCCTGATCTGACTGCGCGGATGCCCAGGCTGGTCTGGACCCATGCTGGTCGCAAACGCATTACGTTGGTTTTGTCGTGACGCGACTCATATAGTTTAATTCTAACATCGTGATAGCCCAGGTGGTAAATCAACGTCACTGTTACTTTAAATGATTTGAACAAATAGGTTCGAAACCTACGCACGGCTTGTTATTATGATGTTGTTGTTAATGTGTTTCTCCCTTTTTATTTACTGTGTCTTTTGTTTGAATACATTGTCAAATCTATGAATGACATTCCAATAATACATTTCACATCATTCTAGGAATGACATTCTTTATAGTTGTAGATAACTGTTATACACGACTTTCACGTGCAAATTTAAATGTCGAACTATACATACATACGCATGCATGCATACATACGCATGCATGCATCACATCATTCTAGGAATGACATTCTTTATAGTTGTAGATGTTGTTGTCATGTAATGCTTGCATATATATGTATATATGTTAATGTTGTTTATATGCTATAAACATTGTATAATGTTTCAGGCAATAAAATTTGAAATTGGAAAAAAAAATATTTTATATTCTAATGTATATAATTGAACGAATTAACAAGAGACTATCTAAGGAGTAGGTATGCTATTTTTCACACTTACGGCTGTATACAAATCGTGATTGATATATAATTACTTCAGGCACTATTTATGCAGGTAGGTGTTACATTGTGTTAACAGTTTACTTCATTCAAACATTAAAATATGACATTTTCAGCTCAGTTTAGATGTATATAAACTACTAGTTATTGCGTACTGATTACAGTCTGACTTACAATGGCTAAAGTCGTACTATTTGGTGACAGTTATATCAAACGTCTTCACTATCACTGTGCCGAAGATCCACGTGCATTGGTGTTTTAAAGGCGGTCTAAGAACCGACCATATGGACCATGCCCTATATTCTCGTCTGCTGCGCCAAAACGCAGATGTTGTAGTTCTGAATGTAGGCGGTAATGACATAACAGCTACATCATTCCCGAACGAAATCGTCAGTAGAATCCAAATTCTTGTGGATAATTTAAAGGCCTCTGGGGTTAAAAAAGTTTATATTTGTGAAATTTTGACCAGAGGCGAATTTTCTAAAGCACCGGGTTTGACAAAAGAGCGCTTCGGAAATCAAATAAAATACATTAATAAAAGGCTGGCGAAAAAAATCAAAGAATATTTAATTCGATTCAATGATATTAAATACTGTAAGGACTACCACACAGACAAGGTCTATCTTAACACAAACGGGCACAAAAAATTCAGGGCCAGATTACAACGCGTGCTGTGTAAAACAGATACGTGAATGGCTGAAAACTGTCCTTTTAAGGACAACAAAAGGCCCTTTTAAGGGCCACACACATGTCTCGAAAGAAATTACCTCAGTTGTCAATATAAATCAATCGGAATATAACCTTACCAATGAATTTCCGTTTTTCTATCAGTGCATCATACATTAAGTAATGAATATATACAGAAACAGAAGAAATGTATATTTCCTTGTATTAATTCAAAATATCGGTAATTACCTGTTTATAATACTTATTGTAATACTTACCAATACTTACATACTATTTCAGGTATTCACAATTTCACGATTTTGCCCGTGTAATATACACTATTTTTACATATCTACTGTGATATAGAGTCTGAAAAAGTAAAGTTTTAAAAATTATCATACGATTTTGAAATTTTACATTTTCTAGTGTTAAGATATCACAGAAAACAACAAATATGTACTGCTATTATACACAAAAATGTTTAAAAACTAATATATAACTTATTCACAGTTAACGAACGAATGTCCGGATATACAATGCAATAAACTAGGAAAGGCAGTTATCTGGACTCTTCAGTAATGCGTACACAACGGGGGGTGGATGGGGTGCGGTATCCATAGCGATTGCGGTTAATTCCTCTATCGATAGATTACAATCTTTTACTCCGTTTACGGCTTAAAAAAAAATAGAAATACAATAATTAAAATTTAGACAATTAAAACAAATCATAATGATAATAGTCTTGTTAGGTGGGATGTCATGTATATTATTTATTAACTTGACAAAATGATATTAGGATTGCAATGAAATGAACACACTAATCAACACAAGGAACGAGACAATGAATCACAAATCAATAATTATAGATTATAAGAACAGTGCTCGTGCACCTAAATGTATAATTACCTACAGTACATACAAACCGGAAAAATGACACTGCCAGTCCGTGCATTCCATAAAATATTTATAAATACAAACATTAAAATTTTGCTTTTACATACATGTACATAAGTGTTATAGAAATATATTACCTTCTTATGGATAATACATAATATCATGATCGGTACAATTTAGAAAAAACAATGATCTCAATAAGTTACCATTTATTTCAAATACTATCAGGGTTTTTTCAGGACGTTTTGTTAGCACGACATGGCTAACGTGAACCGATTAATATTATCCATAATAACAAATGTTACTTGATAATGATTGTATTCGGCTATATACAATTTATTACAATATCAACTTTTTTTTGGATTACAATAACATCTTCCGGACGCTTCCTAATTTTAGGAATATGAGAGTGTGTCATCAACTGCGCACGTCCATGTCTACTTTAATCTTCTGGATATCAAATAATATTTGATAGAGAAGAACTGTCTTCCTGAATAATATCATCTAGAAAAAAAACAATATTTAAATGGATAGTGATTTCTTTTAATTATATCGATGTTTAAAGTGAAACTGCTTTGGGACGCTAAATTTGTTCGGGACGCTTTGTTAGCGCAACATGGGAAACGTCAGTTTTTGTGCTGTATAATGATATTTTGTGGATGAAAAGTTTATTTCCTTCTTTATGTCACTTACACATAACATAAAAGAACTTAATTACGATTTATCTTTGCTTAGATAAAAAAATACCATGAAGACGTTTGGGACGCTATGTTAGTCAGTTAGCAACTTGAACTATGCGTGGATAGATGTACGGTTTCGGGCGTTATAAAGATAATATAATTTTATGTATGGAAAACATTTTTCTCGCTATTGTTACTTACATTACTATTTCGTTAACTAAAATTACGAAGTAATTCAAAATAATTTTGGTTTCGATAAACATTAAACCTTCCGGACGCTTTGTCGGTATACGGTGGTTTTTGAGCAAGTGAACTGGAGTCGAAGGTATGTTTGTTTTTTATATAAATAGAAAAAAATGATAAGTAAGATTATTTTTTTTCTACCATAAATACCTCAATACATAATAATATACATTATTTAAAATAAATATAACCATTCTGACTGTTTAAATTAACAATAATGCTTCGGGACGCTTCATGACATTTCGGGACGCTAAATTCTTCGGGACGCTTTGTTAGCGCAACATGGGAAACGTCAGTTTTCGCGCTGTAAAATAATATTTTGTGGATGAAATGTTTATTTCCTTTTTAATGTCACTTACACATATCATAAAAGAACTTAATTACGATTTATCTTTGCTTAGATAAAAATAAAAACCATGAATACGTTTCGGGACGCTATGTTAGTCAGTTAGCAACTTGAACTATGCGTGGATAGACGTACGATTTCGGGCGCTATAAAGATAATTTTATGTATGGAAAACATTTTTCTTATTATTTTTACTTACATAACTATTTCATTAACTAAAATTACGAAGTATTTCAAAATAATTTTGGTTTCGATAAACATTAAACCTTCCGGACGCTTTGTCGGTATACGGTGGTTTTTGAGCAAGTGAACTGGAGTCGAAGGTATGTTAGTTTTTTTTTATATAAATAGAAAAAATGATAAGTAAGATTATTTTTTTCTACCACAAATACCTCAATACATAATAATACAGCCCATTTACAATAAATATAACCCTTCTGGCTGTTTAAATTAACAATAATGCTTCGGGACGCTTCAGGACGCTTCGGGACGCTAAAATCCTTCGGGACGCTTTTTAGTGAGTCGATTGATGCAAAAATGTGACCGCTAGAGTGTTAACAAGGTTTTTCTATTTTTAGCTCCGGTGGCCTACTTTTTCATCCGAGATGACCCATGTTTGAACTCATCCGAGCTATCACCTAGACAAACATCCTGACCAAGTTTGATGATGATTGAGGCAAAAATGTGACCTCTAGAGTGTTAACAATGTTTTTCTATTTTTAGCTCTTGTGACCTAGTTTCTCATCCAAGATGACCCATGTTCGAACTCATCCGAGCTATCAACTAGATAAGCATCCTGACCAAGTTTGATGATGATTGAGGCAAAAATGCGACCGCTAGAGTGTTAACAACTAAATGTGAACGGACGACGGACAATCATCGATCCTAAAAGCTCACCCTGAGCATGCTCAGGTGAGCTAACAAAGTTATATTTTGACTTCAATACCAATTACTAAATCACTAATTGCCAAAAAAGCAAAATATACCCATAAGAAATTTTAGAAAGTGTAACAGGTCACTAAATATAAAAAGCTCATGAAAAATATAAATGACAGCATTTCTTATGTTTAATGGGCTTTTAAATGGTAAGGTTTGAAAGTTGCTAAATAAACTTCCAAGTGTTTGTCTTGACGCAGCCAAAGACAGAATTATAGATAAACATTACTTTAAGCTATAGTTGAACTGATGTGAGAATTTATTTGACAGTTTCTTCAATGTTTCAGCATCCAGAGCCTTGTTAACTTTCCTTAATGTCGATCTGAAATGTAAACAAAACATTAAAATATAATATCTATCTTTAAATAACAACATTACAAAACTTATTACAAATATTGTGGTAAATATCCTTTTTGTACCTTTGTTTATAATATTATAGAGAATATTCAAGTTTTTTCTATAAATACAGCTTTATTTTCATTGAATGGTATGAATATAAATATTTCACTAGTGGCAGTAGTCACATGTAAAATATGATAATTTTTATAACACAAAATGAAAATAAATCCTGTATTTATAGAAAAAAACTGAATTGTCTATTTATTATATACATTTTTCTCTTTTTTGACATTACAATTTAAAAGACTCCCCATTATTGGCTGAATATAGAAGAAAGTAGTCTGGCAAGACACCAGTGAAAATACCATACTATGTGGAAAATATGTTTCACTGAAGTGAAAAATAAATTTTTACAGTGAAAATATGGAAAATGAATATATGCATTCTATTTCATGAATATTTCTCAATGTTTCATATATAAGTATCTAATATATTGCATATTTTCTCACTTCAATGTGTGATATATAGTCTATTTAAGAAAAACGATTTTTCTTTTCATTTTATGCCTTACAAGTATAATAACAGCAAATTATGACTGTTTTCAATAAAGCATTTGGACAAGACAAAGGTAAAGAAGATTATGTCAGACATTCAACAGTTAGATGAATACTGTGTAAACAAAAATAATTCAAGTTTGTAATCATTATTGCCCTGTAATTTTAAAGATATAATGATATTTGAATTGAGAAATTTGCCATTCAGAATGAATGAAATGCAACAATTAACTTTTATGTAAATTTACAAATTTATGGAATCATACATATTAAAATGTATGCCAAAAATAGTCCGACATTGTGGGTGAACTAGATTTTATCATAGCTGCAGATAAAACCCACTATTTCATTTGTTAGCATAAAATAAAAATCAATACCTCTTTGTTATTGTGACACAAAAATATTAAAAATTCATATTAATATTTCTCTTGCAAGTAAAAAATATGAAATTCATTTGAAAAATTAATATTCTTCTTTACTTTCAAACTCAAGTAACTTTAAAGCTGCATGCCTCCAGATGAGCCAAAATACTTCAAGAAAATTAAACCTGAGAAAAATGTTCTACAATTTTAAGAAAAGTAAGAAGATTTAAGTTCCAAATAAGTATTTACATGTTATGTGTGATTAAAGACAAATTATGCAGTATCTATGACCATATTTCTACTGCGTTACTAGTAAGGACTATTTTTGCTTATTTTGACCTTCTTTTTGGTAATTTACAATGCATGACTTGGAAGTGCTGTTTGCAATATATAAATTAAGTTTTTTGGTTATTTCACATTCAATATTTTACTTTTAAATACATTTTTAAAACTTACAGGAAAATCAGCATAAAATCTGAAGGCATGCTGCTTTAAGATAACAATCAGGGTGTAATATGCCATAAAACGTTAATAAATACACATAGCCTGGCGGTGGCTGTAGAATCTACCCATGTGACCAATGCACACCAAGATCAACAGGTACATCAATACTTGTCTGATCATTGTATGTACTGTTTGAATTACAGTCAGTACTTATTTTTTTTAAAAACTTCCCTAAAAACTGATAAAATGTTTTGTTCATCCATTATGAAAGAAGAACAAGTTCATTTAAGATATTTAGTGTGGTTAAACTTAACAAACCTGTTAAAAATCTTTGCTTCTAATCTACTTCTGCAGTTGTTTTTAGACTCATTTATTTCTGTCAAGTTTGGATATTTTTTCTTCTTAGCCTTTCCTTTACCTTTGCCCTTTGACCTTGATAACGTACTTTCACCTTCAGACGAGTTCCCAGTAGTTTCATCTTTTAAATACATGTATAATGTATGAATCATACAATAGTTTACAAATAGAAATTAGCTCTTAAATGTTTTTCTCATATCCACAAACGTGAAAGCGTCTAACATCTTTTTGTGATTTCAATTATCAAACGTGATTATTTTGTGCAGGCTTTGTAATCAGATCAAAAAAATATTATAATAAAGCAGAAACTTGATTTGTATACCTACAAGTATATAACACAATTGTAAAATACAGACATATTGTATACTCTAATACATTAAAGAAATAATGTCATGTGATAACAAAACAAGAGCCACCGCCGGGCGGGGGCAACGCTCGACTTTTTACTTTTTCTAAACGCAAACATAGAAAGGTTTGAACATATATTGATGTTTCCTTTTTATAAATTTAGTTGGTCTGTCTTGTCACATTAGTTTTGTTTATATATTTTGTATATATATGAATAGAAACATTAAGCATATTTCTAAAAATAGCAACAGTACGCAATTTCTAAAAATAGCAACAATGACGCAATTTCTAAAAATAGCAACAATGACGCAATTTCTAAAAATAGAAAAAATGACGCAATTTCTAAATATAGAAAAAAATGACGCAATTTCTAAAAATAGAAACAATGACGCAATTTCTAAAAATAGAAAAAAAATGACGCAATTTCAAAAAATAGAAACAATGACGCAATTTGTAAAAAAAGAAAAAAATGACGCAATTTCTAAAAATAGAAAAAAAATGACACAATTTCTAAAAATAGAAAAAAATGACGCAATTTCTAAAAAAAAATGACGGAATTTCTAAAAATAGCACAAAAATGACGGAATTTCTAAAAATAGAAAAATATGACGCAATTTCTAAAAATAGAAAAACATGACGCAATTTCTAAAAATAGAAAAAAATGACGCAATTTCTAAAAATAGAAAAACATGACGCAATTTCTAAAAATAGAAAAAAATGACGCAATTTCTAAAAATAGAAAAAAAATGACGCAATTTCTAAAAATAGAAACAATGACGCAATTTCTAAAAATAGAAACAATGACGCAATTTCTAAAAATAGCACAAAAATGACGAAATTTCTAAAAATAGAAAAAAATGACGCAATTTCTAAAAATAGAAACAATGACGCAATTTCTAAAAATAGAAAAAAAAATGACGCAAATTCTAAAAATAGCAACAATGACGCAATTTCTAAAAATAGAAAAAATGACGCAATTTCTAAAAATAGAAAAACATGACGCAATTATATACATGTATATATATGTATATATATATATATATATATATATATATATATATATTTCATATATATATATATATTTGATATATATATATATATTTTGATATATATATATATATATATGTATATATATATACATGCATATATATATATATATATATATAGATATACCTGCATATATGTATATATATACACACACACATTTATATATATATTTATATGTAATACATATACTATACATACACACACACCGATAAATGCACAATCTGAGAAAATTCAGTAATATAACCTTCAAGGTCAAGGTCATTAAAGAGCCCAAGCAAATTTGGGTTTGATAAACAACAAGGTCTGGTCCTTAAGAATGTTCTGTTATAATATGAAGTTTATCCCTTCAAAAATAGCAAAGTTACTGTCAGTTACTGCCAAAACAATGAAAATTTCAATAATTTGACCTTCAAAGGCAATGTCATTAATGAGTGAAGGTCAAGGTCTTTCGGTATATTTTTAACAGTTATCTTTGAAGATTATTATGTTCAAGTTTGAAGACAATCCATTCAAAAATAACAAAGTTACAGCCAATAATAGCCAAAAAAATGAAAATTTCAATAATTTGACCTTCAAAGTCAAGGTCATTGATGAGTGAATGTCAAGGTCTGACTGGTTATTTTTAAGGGATATCCTTGAAGATTATTATGTTCAAGTTTGAAAAAAATCCATTCAAAAATAACAAAGTAACAGCCAATAACAGCATGAACAAGCAAAAATTGGACTTTTAACCTTGAAGGTCAAGGTCATTTATGGATGAAGGTCAAGGTTAGTGTGGTCTACTGAAAGGTCTTGTCCCAAGGGTTGTTGTGGCCAAGTATGAAGACAATACACCAAGAAATAAAAAAGTTATTATCCAGGTACAAGTTTTCGGACGGCAACGGCAACGGCAACGGAGACGGCAACGGCAACGGCAACGCCGACCTGACTATAACAATACCTCTACTTTTTTTTTCAAAAAAAAAAAAAGTCGAGCTAAAAATGGTCATGAATTTGTGACTTTATACCAACATTTAGCTGTCATATAATTTTTTTATGGGAAAAATTGGAAGAAAAATTCAGCATTTCATGTTGGTGCCATAAATATAGCATTAGTTTTTACAGTGTATTAGAAGCTGCAAGGTTAGTAACTTACTGAAACACTCTAGAGTTCATTCTTGAAACTAAGCAGTACTTAGCATAGAGTGTAAATTTTCTTGCTCAAGGAAACAATGACATGCCCTGCTTGGGTTTGAACCTACACTGCCAGTAATCCTCAGGAAACAGTCTGATGTGCTAACCAGTCGGCCACACCACCATGTCATTGCATTGATAATCTCACTAGTTAACATTAAACTTAGAGCAGATAAATTCCTTTTATACATGTAGCAGACTAATGATTAATGAAAATAATTATTAACTTTTATTTTTATATAATAATAATAATATACCTAGATCTGTTTTCATTTTACCACTCAACATGTGTTCAACATCGTCTGGGTTAGAAGGAACACCTTCCTTATCTCTGCCAATTATCTTACCATGAAAAGGGCACTGGAATATAATAAATCTATTATAAAACATAAAATGGGCAAATATAAAATATTGTATTATAAAACCATTTGACATTTCATACCAATATTAACATGACCGCAAAACTGCAGTAACTAGAGGATGCTTTTGTAAAAAAGCGCATGTCTCCCCCACTGCTGAGAATAACTGTGAATGGAAACAGGAATGGAAATGGAGATAAGATAATGTAAATACCCGGTAGTCACTTCAATGAAGGCTGTCTATGGATGGTTTCTATTGTTAAGGTTGTATGAGAAGATGCTTCCTAAACTGTTTGTTTTTAACCAGGTATTCAATTTTGAAAATCCTGGTTATTCAATCAGCGTATGGCAGGCGGGGTAGGTCAAAAGGAACTCTAGTTATCATCCGGAAATGAGAAATTGACCAACGGTCACTGTGACCTTGACCTTTGACCTACTGACCCCAAAAACAATAGGGATCATCTGCTCTATAAGACCAATCATCCTATGAAGTTTGAGGGCTGTAGGTCAAAAGGAACTCTAGTTATCATCCGGAAACGAGAAATTGACCAACGGTCACTGTGACCTTGACCTTTGAACTACTGACCCCAAAAACAATAGGGATCATCTGCTCAATAAGACCAATCATCCTATGAAGTTTGAGGTCTGTAGGTCTAAAGGAACTCTAGTTATCATCCGGAAACGAGAAATTGACCAACGGTCAGTGTGACCTTGACCTTTGACCTACTGACCCCAAAAACAATAGGGATCATCAGCTCTATAAGACCAATCATCCTATGAAGTTTGAGGGCTGTAGGTCAAAAGGAACTCTAGTTATCGTCCGGAAACGAGAAATTGACCAACGGTCACTGTGACCTTGACCTTTGAACTACTGACCCCAAAAACAATAGGGATCATCTGCTCAATAAGACCAATCATCCTATGAAGTTTGAGGTCTGTAGGTCTAAAGGAACTCTAGTTATCATCCGGAAACGAGAAATTGACCAACGGTCAGTGTGACCTTGACCTTTGACCTACTGACCCCAAAAACAATAGGGATCATCAGCTCTATAAGACCAATCATCCTATGAAGTTTGAGGGCTGTAGGTCAAAAGGAACTCTAGTTATCGTCCGGAAACGAAGAATGGACGGACGGACTGACGGACGGACGGACTGACGGACGGACAGGGCAAAAACAATATGTCTCCCCCCGAGGTGGGGGAGACATAATAAAGAAGTGCTTACAGCAGTTTTGAAATCAACCCCTTGATTTATTGATATTAACAATTTATAATTACCATGAGATTAGTTTTTGTTGGACACTGTGAATAATGTATTATGATTGATTATGACAAGCTTACTTTAAATCTTCATCTTGATTTCCCCAATATTTATAATGGACATTATGACAAGCTTACTTTAAATCTTCATCTTGTTTCCCCCAATATTTATAATGGACATTATGACAAGCTTACTTTAAATCTTCATCTTGATTCCCCCAATATTTATAATGGACATTATGACAAGCTTACTTTAAATCTTCATCTTGATTCCCCCAATATTTATAATGGACATTATGACAAGCTTACTTTAAATCTTCATCTTGATTCCCCCAATATTTATAATGGACATTATGACAAGCTTACTTTAAAACCTTCATCTTGATTTCCCCAATATTTATAATGGACATTATGACAAGCTTACTTTAAATCTTCATCTTGTTTCCCCCAATATTTATAATGGACATTATGACAAGCTTACTTTTAAATCTTCATCTTGTTTCCCCCAATATTTATAATGGACATTATGACAAGCTTACTTTAAATCTTCATCTTGATTCCCCCAATATTTATAATGGACATTATGACAAGCTTACTTTAAAACCTTCATCTTGATTTCCCCAATATTTATAATGGACATTATGACAAGCTTACTTTAAAACCTTCATCTTGATTTCCCCAATATTTATAATGGACATTATGACAAGCTTACTTTAAATCTTCATCTTGATTTCCCCAATATTTATAATGGACATTATGACAAGCTTACTTTAAATCTTCATCTTGATTTCCCCAATATTTATAATGGACATTATGACAAGCTTACTTTAAATCTTCATCTTGATTTCCCCAATATTTATAATGGACATTATGACAAGCTTACTTTAAATCTTCATCTTGATTCCCCAATATTTATAATGGACATTATGACAAGCTTACTTTAAATCTTCATCTTGATTTCCCCAATATTTATAATGGACAGCTCCATATACTGAAGCTGGGTAAGTCCTTTGAAGAAATAAAGCAGGGTCAGGGTTAAAGCGATGGTACATGTTAATTTGTTTCTGTAAAACTGACAACTGCACACAGGATAACTAATACCTCATGACAACAGCTTCAGAAGTTAAAGTAGCCTTCTGTTTTTTTCTAAAGATTAAATATGTTATTTTTAGATAAATCATTTCTTCAAAAGAATTAAGGTGGAAAATGAAATTTGCCGACCATAAAATACATAAACAATATTAAAGGAAACCCCGCTCTTCCTGTAATCTACCAGTCTCCTCTCTATATTTGAATTAGTAAAGTAGGTGATTTGTTTCCGGAATAGCTCTAGGGGCCCTGATTTGAAGAAGGCTTAACAGTGACATTTTGCACTTTTTCAAAAAAAAAAAATTACTGAAATACTAAGTTTGAAACAACACAGAATTGTTTTTTTCCCTATAGAAAACAAAAGCTGAAGGCTTTAAACTCATTAAAGATACATACATTTTTGTATATTTAATTTCATGCCGACTAGAATGTTTTGAATTTTAATCCCAAGGCCCTCTCTATGGCATGCATTTTTTATTTTTTTTATTTTCCACTGATATCACATTATATTGTACTGTAATTATACCTGATACAAATTCTGTTGATTTATTTCTTTTTCTCATTTGTTGAAATATCTGTTGTTTTTTAAATTGATATGACATCCTATTATCTAACAATTGTATCTGCTTTGATAAATTTCATAACCTTAATAAAACTGATCTTTAAAACATGAATAAATCAAGAGACTATAAATACTTTATAAAGGCTATTTACAAAACCCATCTATCTCAATGTAACAGAATTTTTGCTTTGTTCTCACCAGTGACAGAAACCATTGGTTTTATATAACATATCTAAATATGGATGCTTCTATTGTCCTGTTAAACTGGTTAAACAGTGTAATCATGAAAACTATGCAAAATTTTGTATAAATATGCAGCAGATTATAAATAAACATAACTGAGACCTTGACAACTTGTGTGAAGTGTTTATTTCACATATACAGTACAAAAATTACAAAGTTATAATAATGTCTGACAATTATTGTTTATGTCGCTGTTTCCTACAGGCTTTTTTGTGACAATTTTTGGGAAAAAGGCCTTGTCCATTTTTTGCCCAGTTTGGGAAATTTTGCTTTGTAATACTGCTTAATTGGGAAAAATATTTGGTACTTTTTGAAACTTCCTTCATACTTTTTTGGCATAGTATATTGAATTGTACAAAATTGTTTATTCCAACCAATGCAAATATCAATACAAAACATTAAAATTTGACAATTGAAATGTGTTGAAACATCTGTCTGATACCATACAATGTAACTGGAATGAACTCAAACAAATTCATTAGTTTTGATATCAAATATTTCAGTTCAATTAGGATTTTTTTGAAGAGATTGTGGAAATAATAAGCATATTTGCCATTATGAATCAGTCTGGTAATCTAACCCGTGGTGACAGTCATAAATTACCTTTTAACTTACATGATTTTTTTATGTTTAAACTTACACAGATTTTACAGTTATACTTTCGCAGGTTTTTACCATTAAACTTTCACAGGTTAGTATATTACCATTAAAGTAACAAAGGCTTTACCATTAAATTTACACAGTGTCTACAATTAAACTTTCACAGTATTTTACCATTAAACTTACACAGAACAACCAACGTTCTGTAAGCTAGCTGGATAACTTCCTTACATGAAATAATCCAAAGTCCCTGGTGGGACTCATGCCTACAGCAATGAGGTGCAAGTGGTCTAAAGTCAACAACCTTAACCACTTGGCCACAGACACCCCAATAGTCAAACAAAAGTCTGTATATTCTACAGAAGGAATATGTATTGTATATGACATAATAAACCTACTTTTACTCTATCCATTCTTTCACATAATTTTCCATCTGACATTGGTGCACGGCATTTCCACTTCACAGGCTCAAACTGTCCAACATACGTGAAAGACCGTCGTGTTAATGATGCCACTTCCTCCGAGCCGCCAGCTTCCTGATCATCTACATCTCGCTCTGCCACCCAAAATCTGCTAGCTCCTTCATACCTGACACAAACAATATAAATTTAATATTCTAATTCAAATATTGTAATCCTTTAACACTTACAATTACATGTAGCTGTAATAAAAGGTTGTCTTTTCCTAAACAAGTCTGAATGATAATTTGTGGTTGAAATTATATTTCGTCCAATAATATTGATTCATTTATTTAATTCTGTGGTACATTTAGTTAACTCGTCATTTAACACTATCCCCTTTATTTCAGTGTATCATTCTGTCACTACATAAATAGTCAAAACATAATTTCAACCACTAAAGTAGGTTAGTGTTTGTTAAGTTAGCATAATTTCCATTTAATATGTTACCAGGATGTGCCATACCAGACAGATTTAATTTCATTAATGCTATCAAACACTAACCTGTAATAAATGTACAGACAAAACACATTTTACTCCCCATTTAATTTCTTGTGACTTGTGCATTGATATTATTGTTATAATGATGATGTTGCTATATTAAGTTTCATTTCAGGAATATTGCACATACCACAAGATAGACCTATATAAACTGCTGAACAAATGCCACTTTAAAATGGGTATGCATCACCTATGTTGTAAGTATTTATCAAATTATGCTGCATACCTATTTTTGGCTGGTGCTTTGATTTCATCAGGATTTTCCCAGTGTTCCAAGTCCACCCCAAAATTTATAAATGGAGCTTTCTCAAGCAGACTGCTCTTTCTGTCCTTGCCATCATCTGTAGAATTGTCTCCATTGTCTGAATCCAATTTGTTGTTAGACTGTGTCTCTATTTGTGAACAAGTTGCACTTGACTGTGTCTCTGATTTTTCTGTTTTCTGTGAACTTCCTTTAGCAGACTGTGTCTCAATTCTTGGTTTATGTACTGAGGTATGACTGGTTGATGACTGCTTGATGTTGTGTTTGACCTGCCTGTCAGATTGATGAAGAAATGGTAGAGAAGCATCGTCCATCAAGCACCTGTTCATAATAGAAATGCAAACTGTTTAGATAACCGTCTCAACACCTTCCTAATAGTAGCTATAAAAAGAGAAAAGCAGGCATCAATTTTATCAGATGAGGCTGATATGGACTGGAAAGTTAAAACTTGCTGGATAAAAATGCAAGATGTTTCTAACTGACATTTGTCATTAACTCATTGACAAGTTTCTAGTTAAAATAATGAAGACAGTCATCTAGATAATCTTGTTAGTAATGTTTATCATTATATGACATAACACTGATGATGTCATACACAAGACAAATTGTATCATTTCAGTACTGTATAGTAAATATTTGTTATCTAATTTATTTGTAATTGAATACAATATAAATAATATCAATGAACAATTTGTTTTATTTTAAAATTAAGAAGATTGCCAGATTATGAGGTAAACTTTAAAACATAAAATGGCTAATGTCTGATGAACTTAACTTAGATCTACATGATAATGGCAACAAGCATAAAACACAACTGCATGTTCTTTCATTGTTAATAACAAATCTCATAAGGTTAGAATTTGCTACGTCTACACAGATCTAAGTTGATTTTGTTATAGTTGTGGCCACTTTTGATTAATGGCCTTGTTTCTACCTCAGTATAATTGTGTAAATATTTCAATTTTTAACTGTTCGCAAAATGACAACATCATGTCAAAAAGCAAAGAAAATCAATTATTGTAATATCACTTTTATAAAGACAATGATTATATAAATTTGATAAATACATAGATAGAGGATATTGAATGTGTGTAGATTTAATACTAAATTTATTGAACAAGTTGAATAAAATCATATTATGTGAGCGTCTAGCAAGCAATATATTGTTTATTCAACGAGAGTTACAAAACATAAAGCAACATTAGGGGTCAAAACCACCTCACATGCTGGAGCTAAGAGATATGTAGGCTCCAGTAATTCAAACCCATTTAGTCGCCTCTTACGATCATTTAGGGATAAACAGTGGCTGCAATTCTGATACCTAAACCCTTAATTAAAAGCATTACCCTTCAGACACAAGGGGGACATCATTCCAGATATTGTTTTATTCTTTATTCAATTATAAACAAATGTACATGTATACATAGACATGTATATATATTTAACCATTTTAAAATCTATCTTTTTTATTCATTTTAATGTAAGCCTTTCACCATATCAAAATATTTACCACCTGCAATCTTAATGATTTGTTATTACAAATAAATTAAACAATAAAACTTCATTAGTCATCCCGGACGCCTATACCCAGCAGGTCCTGTTAACATATGAATTCAATTTTCTACATTTTTACCTTTAAACATGTTCTAATCATTAAACTCTGTAGATAATTAATATCTCCAATAATATAATACAGAATAGAGTTTCTGCTCCATTATAAATTCAAAAGATCAATTCTGGCTTAATTTTTTTTTTCAGTGAGGACATAAAGTATAATTAATCATGAATTATAGATTCTATAATAATTATTACTAAAATGATTTAAGCATTATTATATCCTAGTCATATATAAAATAATCATAACTACTCTAGCAACACCATACATTTATTTACTTTTATATCACACCAACACTGTAAAGGTCAATACAGCGCCTTTTAATTTATACAGGTGAAGAAAGACCTCAAGTGTCCCTCCGTGCATTATTTCAGACATATCAATATTGGTATGTACCAGGGATTTTTCATTTCAATTTTAAAAAAAACCTGTGGCTTTCTGAAGGGGAAAATATAGCATGATAAATCAGAAAAGGGGAAAAACCTGAAACTGAGACCGGAATTACCCACACATTGTATAAAGTTTTCAATTTCCATTCAATTTGACATGTATGGTACATAGCAGAGGCTGTCAATAGCGACAACTTTCTTTCTTTTAGTCAAATAAATTCAACAACTGCTGTTAAGTCCTGGTCCTGGTAAAGAATGTGCACAGGGCATTTCAGGGGAAAATATAGTATTTTTAAGGGAAAATATTTACATATTTTGGGCATAAGGAAACTTTTTTTATTCGACTGTAAATATATAGGTACATAAGTTAAAGCACTCAAACATTCCTTCACCTTGCCATATAGCTTCAACACACACAAAATTTAAAATCTTTCTAGGGATCTGAAGCAACAGCAATTAGTGACATATGATTTTAGGTCAGCAACTTTGATGACATAACCACACAACACTATACAAAATGTTGTAATGGTAATATTGAGCTGACATGAAGTACGTTCTATAATTCTCTGAATAACAACAAGAAAGCCATATTTGAGAGATAATATGTTTAGCAATGTTGGAGAAAATGCTGATTAAATTGGACAAATATTGTGGAATATTTTACTAACAAAAGTCATTAAAATTAATTATTTTACTATTACAAGATAAATCATTCTCTAGATTGTTTTATTATCACAAGAGTGAAACTACATATGAGCATGACAAAACCAACATTATGCGTTTGCGACCAGCCTGGATCCAGACCAGCCTGCGCATGAGCGGGTTAGTAGGAAAGACCCACTATTCTTTGAAAAGTCGAGCTAAAAAGTAAAGTTACGAATTAAAAAATATGTGTATGATAAAGAACTTTAAATAGGCAGAGGTAATTAATTCTAATTTCTACGGGGGCCTCATTGGCCGACGAGTGAATAAGGTCATCGACTTTAAATCACTTACCTCTCATCGATGTGGGTTCAAACCCCGTCACGTTAGGGACTTCAGATTATTTCATGCAAAGAGTCTGTTCTGCTAGCATACAGAAGCTCGGTGGTTTAACTTAGATGCCCACTCGTTGATGTCTTCCACTACCAGTAAAGCTGGAAAGTCATCGTATAATATTTACAGCGTCGTATAATATTTACAGCGTCGTATAATCTTTACAGTGTCGTATAATCTTTACAGTGTCGTATAATCTTTACAGCGTCGTATAATATTTACAGTGTCGTATAATCTTTACAGTGTCGTATAATCTTTACAGCTTCGTATAATATTAACAGCGTCGTATAATCTTTACAGCGTCGTATAATTTTTACAGAGTCGTATAATCTTTACAGCGTCGTATAATCTTTACAGCATCGTATAATATTTACAGTGTCGTATAATCTTTACAGCGTCGTATAATCTTTACAGCGTCGTATAATCTTTACAGCCTCGTATAACATTTACAGCGTCGTATAACATTTACAGCGTCGTATAATATTTACAGTGTCGTATAACATTTACAGCATCGTATAACATTTACAGCGTCGTATAATATTTACAGTGTCGTATAATCTTTACAGTGTCATATTATCTTTACAGTGTCGTATTATCTTTACAGCGTCGTATAATCTTTACAGTGTCGTATTATCTTTACAGCGTCGTATAATCTTTACAGCGTCGTATAATATTTACAGCGTCGTATAATCTTTACAGCGTCGTATAATCTTTACAGCGTCGTATAATCTTTACAGCGTCGTATAATCTTTACAGTGTCGTATAATCTTTACGTCGTATAATCTTTACAGCGTCGTATAATCTTTACAGCGTCGTATAATCTTTACAGCGTCGTATAATCTTTACAGTGTCGTATAATATTTACAGTGTCATATAATATTTACAGAGTCGTATAATATTTACTCGTATACTATTTACAGCGTCGTATAATATTTACAGCGTCGTATAATATTTACAGCGTCATATAATATTTAGTGTCGGTATTATCTTAAAATCTTTCTGAAATTCTGACTATTTTGAAACCAATACAGATACGAAATACTCCATGTCTCACACATTAATTAACATCATATATTGACTGATGGCCACTTGACCTAGTTACAGTGATGAAGTACATTTATATATAGCATTTAAACACAATTAATTTAAAACGGAATGGTACAGAAACGATTGGACATTCTATCAGTAAAAATACAATAATAGTGCCAATAAATGTATTGACAATAGCTAGATATATTTCAATGTATACGTGAGGTTTTGTTTGTTTTGTAGACACCACAAACTAGAAACAAGTGAACAGACGGAAATGCCCTAGTAAACCGGTAATAAAACTAAAATGGGCGATCAATATTTCATTACATTTTTTATGAAGTAAAAATAAAATTAAGATATATTAGAACAAATGATAGGCTATAAAAATATCAAAACTTGTCGTGCTATTTTCATAGAATCCTGTCACATTCATAATTTATCAACATAGCAACAAGAATAATTTAAGATCAAAATGTATATTTTATTGAAGGAAGATAACAAAATGCTATTCCAGTTCAAACCTATATATCATGTGAACATAAACTGAGAAAAAAATATTCCAACATTTTATTAACATGTTTTTGATTTAGCTCGTGGAAATAAAAAAGAGACATTTAAATTTAAGTTAAAACAGCAAATTGTTTCTATCCTCTGATAGCTGTCCGGTCAATAGGTAGAACTCGATTCCCGGATAGCGCAGGTCACTTTCGTTGTGATTGATTATGAAATCCTTTCTACGGTCATTCGCACTGTACCTCTGCTCTGGAATGTACAGAAGTTTCAGTTCCTTACGAAAGTGAAGGTAACTAATAGGTTAACTGCTTGACAGCCTGTCCAAGGAAATTCAATTTGGCTTACAGCCGTGATCTGGAGTGAAAACTGCCAACACCACCACTACTCTTCTGATACAATTAATTCGTGTATTTCCATGGAATGAAGCTACTGTTTGACAAATTGTGAACAACGCACAGACAGATAACACACTTAAAGCTCACACATACAGTGCTTTATGTAAGCAGGAGTGCTAATTAAATCATCAGAACAACAATTACCTTTGGTTTCATATTTTATTGCAAAATACAATTTTTTCATATGACAACCATGTTAATCAAAATACATTTTCTGTTCCAATAGATCAAATAAAATAACAAATTATACATAATTAAAATGCACATATTTCCTGGAATAAACACATTCTAGACAATAATTTCTAGTCACAATTAAATAAATATTGACACACAAAATATAAT